AAAAATTTAATCTTTTGAAAAAAAAAATATTATTTACTAATTTAAATGAAATCCAAAATACTTTAAATGGTAAATGCAAAATTGTAATTTATACAATATGAGAAAAAAATTCTTTGTATGTATTAAAAATGAACAAATTACTTAAATCTGAAGCAGCAGAAATTCCGATATTTTAAAATCGAATGAACATTAACATTACCTGAAATGGTGTAATTTGTTTGCTGCCATATTATATATGTATATTTATATTCTAAATTGGCCAAAAGAAAAAAAATTAAAATCACTGTCCAAAATTTTTATTGCACTTTTGATCTACATTCATTTTCCAAATTTTCCGTGTACCAAAACCATGTTTTTACCCCTAATTGACACAATGTTCAAAGCATCAATCAGAAGTGACCATAAAATAACACAACTATTTATCATACCATGAGAACATTCTTCACAATCACTCTCAAGTGATCATCCACGAACTGATCTTCATCACTAAATATTAACGTCTTCACCGCTCACCTCCACCGCGCAATTGCGCTCATCACCACGCGTGAATGGCAAGTGGAATGTGCGACAAAATCAGCAGACGATCGGTCGGTCGATCAGCAGTGAGATCGCATGCATGCCAATACATACTCCTACCAGCTACTTGTTGGCTATTGCAGCTGATCGATCGGTCGATAGCATAAGACGTAGCTCGCCGAATGGCTGATTATGCTTTTGATTTATGCATTCATGCAACATGTCATTGTTGGCAGTTAGCAAAGCGCAAGAAAAAAGTTGCAGAAAAAAAATGTAAATAAACGGAAAAATGCATTAAAGCAAGCAAAATAATGCAGCATCGTTGTTGTATGGTTTTCTTTTACTTTTTACCCATTACGGAAATCTTAATTTGAAGGACAGCTACTGGCCAACGCAAAGTAATGATCCAGCGATCGGCAATGATCAACGACGAGCAGCCATCACATTTTTGTTGTGCGCACTGCAGCGGCAGCCACTTTTTCTTGCTATGTAATCAATAGTATTTATTCGCACATTTTTTGCATTGAAGATGATTTTGTAATTTTTTTCCAACCCAATACCGATTAAATAATTTTTGCAACGACGCTAACGACGGGTAAAATTAATACATAGAAATGATTGATATGCAAATAATTGCAACTACTTAATACAAAGTCATTTAAAACTTACATAGGTGCATATGTATGTATGTATGTAAAAAAGTGTCTACATTGTTGAATGCAAGTGTGATAAAATCATTGCACGGCTGTGGGCCAAAGTCAAAGTCAAGCGCATGTGTGTTCATACACTACACGTACATATATATGTATATATGTTTATATATGTGTAGGAGTGCTTGGGTGTAAGTATTTGGCGATGCATGCTTGATGATACCAAACACACACAAAAATGAAAAAAAAAATATTAACGGAAGCCCGTTTATTAACTTTAAGGTTGTTGCCACTCAGCGGCGGGTGCGTTGATGGGTGACTAATGACACTGAGCAGTTAATATTTTGTAGTAAAATTTGATTGATTGTTTAATTGATGAGTTTTGGGAGGAGATTTATGATTTAGGCGCGCTGTAAATCGCTCTTCCGGCGGTTGTAATAAAACTAGGCATACAATAATTAATTTTTTATTTTGTGTGGTAAAAATGTCTTTAGAAATATGTTTTTTGACGTACATAAGTGTTAAAAACAGCACTTGCAAATGATATGTCTTCAGTAGTTGGAATTATTCCGGTCAACCCACTCAATAAACCTGGTGACTAAATGGGCGGCTAATAGCTGCCTTGCCGTCAATCCTAAAAAGACAGTTCTTATTAATTACCCAAGCAAGTCCATCTCTCGATTGGGGGCGATCGCCAGACCCTCTTGAGCAGCGTAAAGTACTAGGCCCTGATGCCACATAAGAAACTTCCTTGCAAGCCTGACTTTGAGAAAATCAATTAGGCTCTCCTAGCAAAACTGTCGTCGCACTGGGTGTAATTATTCTTAGGGAAACCGAACTACCTCAACCTATTAACACT